GGCCTGTATCAGACGCACCTTAGTCTCCAGAGAGACACCATTGCTCTTCAGTACTTTGGAGAGGTCCCTAACAGCAGACTTTCCCATGGCAATATGCCTTTTAACTTCCTGGCTACTGGTGCCAAGAGTGTTGACTGTGGAGCCAAGCAAACTAAAGCTGTGAATACAAAATCATTTCTCCTGCGGGCTACGTAGTATTCCATTGTGTGAATGTACCATAATTTCTCAATCCATTCATTTGTGGTTGGACATCTGGGCTGTTTCCATGTTCTTATGATGTTGTGATTATCCTTCTTTCTCCAGATTTCAGTCTTTGATCCATTGACGTAATATCAGGCCCCAGACAGACACTGCCTTCAAGTTAGGTCTTAAAGGAAGTCTGAAGGATTCGCATACCCGAGAACAAGGAGTATACAGAGCTGTAGTGAACTTGTCATTCTCGAAGAGGTGGTTGATTAGGTGTCTACTTCCTTCCTTCTTGTATCTCAGAGAGAGGAGTCCTTGATTGGAAGGGGTGGCTTTAAGTACTACAAGACAGGGGGCCTAGTCCCAAATAGTGTTCAATACAGGAACCTTATTTGAGGACAGACACCTACTCAAAGATAGAAAGGGCCCCTTAGAGCTCATGCTGTCAGCCATGGGAGACCTTCCCATTTGCTTCCACCAGTAGTCATAGGGAAATAATTCTTAACATGAGAGGGGGAATATTATATGAGCAAAGGGTAGTTCTCCCATGCTACGTAAGGAGCCACCTGAGGATCTTGAGTGAGGACTGAAGGGATCATAAAAAACAGAGCCTTGTCCCTGTGCTAGCCTTGTGAGGATTACCCCGCTTTCCTTGAATAGAATGCCTCAACTTCCTTGTCCAAGTCACCTGATTAATAAGCCTTAGATAAGCAAAGAGAGGAGACCAAGTTCCTGCCAGGAGTCAAGATGAGTCCTTCAGTAAAGCCTAAAAATAGAGGAGACCCCACAGACCCCAATACTATCTATCTGTGGTCATCCCTGGAAAATTGTGGACCCCTGGCAGGTACACCCTCAGAAACCTTCCAATTTCCTCCATGTTCTTATGTTAGAGGTTGAGCAGGAAAACTAGAGATCTATGAGACCTAAATAATTTTTTTTTTTTAGTAAAAGGTAGATGGAGGCAATCCTTGTTAACATCCTCCACAGTTGAGCTTATAAGCTGAAGCTGCTTACATCCTTTCTTTCTTTCTTAGTTGAGAGACGTCATTGCCTGCCCAGCTGAAAACATCTTTTTCACTGTCAACAGGAGTGATGTCTTTTAATCCAGAAAGTCAAAACTACATGTCTGATGAAAGTCTTAGGGCTTTCGTTGAGTCCCAGAACCTGGAGGGAATACTGTTTCCTGAATTTTCTGGGAAAATCTCTCTCTCCTCCTTGTTCTCTATTACACTGGAAGAAGTGCCTGCAGTTGAGACATCTACTGAGATCACAGCCACTTCATTAAGCAATTCAAATGAGGGCTTAAGAAACCAAGAGGAGAAAAGTGTGTCCATGCCAGGCACTGGTAATTTGCTCAAAGCGGCTTTATATGAGAAGATGGCTAAGCTGGTAGAATTGTTGTTACTCAAGTATCGAATGAAAGAAGTGATCACCAAGAAAGACATGCTGAAAATGGTAGTTAGAGAGTATGAAAAACATTTTTTTGAAATACTCAGTATGGCTTCTGAGCGCTTGGAACTAATATTTGGTATTGATGTGTTGGAAGTGAATCGCACCATCCAAAGCTATGCTCTCTTCAAAAAACTGAATATCACCTATGATGGGCTGCAGGATGGTAATGAGTGCAAACCCAAGACCGGCCTCCTGATTTTAATCTTGGGAATTATCTTCATGAAGGGCAACCGCGCAACTGAGGAAGATGTGTGGAAAGTACTGAACAGGATGGGCATTTATTCTGGCCAGAATCATTTCCTTTATGGGGAGCCCAGAAAACTTATCATGGAAGACTTGGTGTTGGGAAAGTATTTGGATTATAGAAAAGTGCCGAAAAGTGTTCCTCCTCGTTATGAATTCTGGTGGGGTCCTAGAGCCCATTTTGAGATCAATAAGGTTAAATTCCTCGAGTTTTTTTCCCAAATTAATGATGCTGATTCTCCTACATACTCCTCTCGCTTTGAGGAAGCTTTGCGAGATGAAGAAAATAGAGCCTCAGTTTCACACATGGCCATAATATATTCTAGGCTCGACTCAAGTTCCTCCCAGCCTTAGCGAGACCTTAGCGAAATGGTTCACTTTTCTTTGATGCTTAGGGTGGACCTAGAAGGATCACAACGTATAAGATTTTTAGGTTTGGGTTCTTTATGAATAATTTGGAGATTTAGTTCCTTTTAATGACTTTGAGGATCTAATTTTGCCAATGTTATTTGTTGCAAATTTATTAGACGTTTTAGAGTAAAAAGTTTGCTATGTTGTAAACAAGTTTTAGAAGCAGGTAATCTTATCTGATAATTTGGAATAAGAGAACATGCCATTGTCAAATTTTTTTTTTTCTTGAAAGTGTGAAAGACCTAGACTCAGAAATTCTTGGGACAACTAAATTTTTTTAAATGTTAAAATATGTTTATTCTTGGTTCCTTTTATCCATTTTTTGTGAAATTAAAATACACAGACCTGCAATTACTTTCTATATTAAAAACATTGGTAAAAATAAATTTTAAATTCAGCCTCATGCTCTGTCTCCTTTATTTCCCAAATGGGAAGCATCGCATATAATAACTTAATAACTAGCTCATGACCATTGTATTTTAGATGCTAAGACAAGCATGATTTAAGGAACATGGTAGGGGTCCCTGTAAGTTCTTAGTTCACTCATTTCTTATGAGAATATTCCAACTCATAGAGAAGATTGTTCATCTTTCTCCTGTGAAGCTTCTGGTGGATTTGAACTGCCAGAGATGAGCAACCTTTTCTGCTTTGCAGCACAATCTGCTACACTCTGTCACCAGAGTTTCTCTAAGTCTTCTAGGGCAAATAAAAGAACTTGCAGTAGAAGTCCAGATGAAAACAGTCAAATGTAATTTCCCTAAGCTACAGTGGTTTGGGCAACTGGAAATCCACTCTTTCAGTGTAAATTATTTTTAAGTTAACATGGATGGTGAGTAAGTGTTGTTAGTTACTTTTTCGGACTATGTGTAAACTAGAGAGACATCTATATATGGAGAAAGAATACAATATGTTCTGTATTATTACCCCAGGATAATTGAATACATGCACAAGTGAGGTGTTTTGTGCACATCAATTCCAAGGAGTTTATAAGAAATAGTGTTGATTCTCCCTCGATATGAAATCTGGGTTTGAACTCTTTGCTCTTGTCTTGGAAAGCCAGAGGCCATGCTAATCAAAAGACATTTTAAGTGTTTAATTTTGAGATCCATAAACAAATGCGAGATATTGAGTGGGTGTGAAATGCATGCAAAAATATGAATGGTTTGAATAAAAGGGCAACTGGAAGGGAGGGGCACAAGTTGTATACTTGACACTGGTTCTAGAGGACAAAAATTATGTACTTGACTCTGATTCCAGTTAGGGGAAGAAATTCCTACACTTAAATTAAAGCATATACCTTCTAAAAGGGGGGAAATTCAGAGTTTTCCTGGATAAGCAGGATTTTGTGTGTGTGTGAGTTGACAATCCACCCTAGAGGATTTTCTGTTGTCTGAGATATTATAAATTTTTAGAAAATTCACATAATTCAGTGGTCGAGTTGGAATCAGAATAATGACAGCAGTAGCTATCACTCAATAATATACCACTACCAACCTTGTGGTTGGGTCAGAACTGACTCAGCTGATGATCCAGCTGTAAACTGCACAAGACCTAGATTGTCCATCTTCCATAGAATCCCTGTTAAATTCCTCTGTTTTACACACATTACACACTTTGCTATAATGTCACAAAACAGGGCTTTTCTAAGTCTCTTAACAAATGAAGAACCTGATAAAGAGAGTTCTGGAGTTTGCCTGAGTTCATGAGTCTGTTGTGCGACAGAACTGGGTCTACACTTCTCATTTGAATTTTCCAGAGTCATGCTGTTCCATTCATCCCAGCTTTGAACTGACTTTCTATCTCAATTTCTTACTAGCTTGCCAAATGTATGAATAATCAATATTAACTGGAGATTGCCGTGTGATCCGAGCACGCAGATCTACCTGATGAAACTACAAGTGGCATGCCAGATTTGCCTTTATCCTTTAGAATTCACTCTAACTGCAGTCAGGCAGAGTGTACAGCTAGATACGTGTCGCCATGTCCTTCAGAGATAGGAATATCCTTAGAGCAACCTCTTGTTGTTGCTTTTGTTATTGTTTTGGGGGCCATCCAGTTGCCTGCAACTCATAGAAACCCTATTCACAACAGCTCTGAACCCTGCTCTATCCTGTGAATCAAACACATCTAATCCCATTGCTCCACTTTCTGTATAAATCCGTCTCATTCAGAGTCTTCCTGTCCTGCATTGTTTCTCCATCCTTCCAAGCATGATGTCCTTCTCCAAGGACTGGTCACTCCTTGCCATGTATTCAAAGTATGGAAGATGAAACTTCAAAATTCTTGCTTCTAAGGATAAACTTGGTTTTACCTTTTCCAAGACAGACTTATTTGTTCTCCTGGAGGTCCATGGTATGTTCAAGACTTTTCTCCAGCACCACGACTAAAAGATACTGATTCTTTTTGTCATCCTTAGTCATTTGTACAATGACCATGACCTGGATCAAGTGAACTCATTGTTCTTTAGCACTTTGGAGAGGTCCCTGATAGCAGACATCCCCAATGCAATTCGTCTTTTGATTTCCTGATTGCTGATGACAAGAGTGTTGATTGTGGAGCCAAGCAAGCTGAAATTGTTAAGAACCCCAACCTCTTCTACATCCAACATGATGCTGCATGTTGGCCTAGTGGTGAGAATCTTTGTCTTTTTCATGTTATGCTTCAATCCATATTGAAGATTACAGTTCTTGACCTTCTGCTCAAATGCTTCAGTTCCTCTTTACTTTCAGTAAACAAGGTTGTGTGATCTGCATATTGCAGGTTGTTAATCAGTCTCCCTCCAATCCTGGTGCCACATTCCTCCTCATAAAGCCGAGAATCCTAAATCTTCTGTTCCACATACACACTGGAAAAAGTATGGAGACAGGACCCATTCCTGATGCACTCCCTTCCTAATTTTGAACCAAGCAGTGTTTCCTTGCTGTGTTCCGAGGACTGCTCCTAGTCCAAGTATAGGTTTTGCATAAGCACAGTCAATTGTTTTGGTATTCCCATTCTTCTCAAGGTCAGTCACAATTTGTTGTGATCTACACAATCTAATGTCTTTATATTGTCAATGAAACACAGATGAACATTCCTCTGGTACTATTTGCTTTCAGCCAAGATCCATCTGATATTGGTGATAATGTCTTTAGCACCACAGCCTCTTCTAAACCTAGCTTGTATTTCTGTTAATATACTGTTCCAGTCGTTTTGGGATAATTTTCAGCAGGATTTAGCTTGTATGTAGTAGTGATTTTGTTCAGTAATTTTCACACTGATCACTTTTTTAAATTTTTAATGTTTTTTATTATTATTATTAATTTTAATGGAAGTTTATGATAACTTTTTTTAAAAAATGGGAATAAATATAGATTTCTTCCAGTCAGTTGGCCAGGTAGTTGTCCTCCAGAGTTCTTGGCACAACCTCATGAACGTGTCCAGGGTAGCATCTGTTTGTTGAAATATATCGTCAATTCCTGGAGCCTTGTTTTTTGTCAATTCCTTCAGAGCAGCTTGAACTTCCTGCTTCATCACTATTGGCTCTTGATCATATATTGTTTCATGAAATCGTTCTGTATCAGCCATTTATTTTTGGTTTAGTAACTCTTTGAACTCATTCCATCTTTTTTTAATGCTTCCTGGACGCTTCAATATTTTGCCCATGTTGTTGCTAAGCACTGTGGAGTCAGAATTGATCCATAGCTGACCCTATAGTGGGTTTTCAGAGGCAGATAATCACATTGGAGGAGGTTGCCCATCCTTCTCTGGAGCAGCTGGTAGATTCAAACCACTTTCCTTCATGATCACAGCACAGCTTCTTGCCACTAGGCTACCAGAGCTCTTTCGACCTACAGCATCCTTAAGTATTGCAACTCAAGGCTTGAATTTGTTCTTCAGTTCCTTCTTCTTAAGAAATGCTGAGCAAATTCGGCCCTTTCAATTGTCTGACTACATTTCTTTGCACATTTCATTATAATACTTTGCTTTGTCTTCCAGCTCTGGACTTTGAAATCTTCTGTTCAGCTCATTAACTTCTTGATTTCTTCCCTTTGCTTTGGCTTCTTGGCACTCCAGTGCAGAATCTTCTGATGTTCATCTTGGTCTTTTCTTCCTCCTCTGTATTTGTAATGCTTCCTGGATAATATTCTTGATATCCTCCCACAGCTCATCTGGTCTTTGTCCATTAGTGTTCAAGGCCTCAATCCTGTTCCTGACATGGTTTTGAAATTCAGGTGGGATAGACTTAAGTTCAAATTTTGGTTCCTGTAGATTTGATTTCACGTTCTTTATCTTTAGTTTGAACTTGCGTATGAGTAGTTGATGGTCTGTGCACAGTCAGCACCTGGCTTAGTTTTTACTGTGGATACTGAGCATCTCCAACTATTCTTTCCACAGATGTAATAGATCTATTTCCTGTGCAAATCATCAGGTGAAATTCATATGTACAGTCTGTGTTTATGTTTATTATAAAAGGTATTTGCAGTGAATAAGTCACTGTACAGAATTCTACCTCAGCCTCATTTCTATCACCATATCCATGTTTTCTGACTACTGATCCTTCTTTCCTGTCTCCAGCACCAGTCACCTATTATTATGAATGCATCTTGAGTGTGTGTTTGATTGGTTTCTGACTACTCTAGTTTTTGGCACATATATTTGAATGATAGAAGTAGTCATAGGACTTCCTGGTATGCATATGGATATTATCCTGTCACTCAGAGCCTTGTATATCAAGATTGATCTACAAAGGACTTTTTTTTTACTATGAAAGTGACCCCATTTTCCCTCACTTTTTGATCTCCACTATAATAGAACATATGATTGATCGTCTGATTCGAAATGCCCCATACCAACTCATCTCATTTTGCCAATACCAAACATGTCAATATTTACATTATATTTCTTTCTTAACAATATCAAAATTTCCTACCTTAATGCTTCTCACATTCCATGTTACAATC